CTAGAGGGAAGACATGTATCAAAGCTACACAAGAATTATCGGCACATAGCCGTCCCAAATTTTGAACTGATAAACTAGAGGGAAGACATGTAATCAAGAACATCAGACTAGTTCCTCTGCGGCTGTTTTTGTCTAACTAAACTGTGGGATTTGACTCTCACTCTTATAGCGCACTGAAAGCCGAAAATTGCGAAACGTTTTTATGTTACGCACTTGGCCACGCCCGGCCCTAACTATAAAAACAAACAACTTAAAAGATATGTCGATTAGCCGTTCATACAGCTAGAAATATCTTTTTCGGTTCTTTAATGTATCAGTGTTTGATAATACATTAAGAGTTTTTGTTTGAAACACGCTCACTTGAGATTTCAATCATCCAACTCTTCCCACTACTGACATCTTAGGAGATCACTAGGGTTATTTTTCAACCAGCACTTTAAGCTACGTACACACACAAAATTTCTTCTCTAGCATCCAATACTTTGAAACTCGGCGGTGTTTAAATTTTTCCATTGAAAGCAATTGTTTCTGCAAATAATAAAGTTTTAAAAATCTCACAAATCTTTTTTTCCGATTATTTGATTTCTTTCTTATGGACAGTTGATTAAAATAAGATACACAAACGTGACAAAGTGTGATATATGTTCAGGAACTAACTGTAAATACCTTACAGGATGAATAAAGATAAATAACGACTCCCTTATATTAATAACGTTATTACTAAACGTTTCATTATCACCTTTTGCATTTTTTTTTTCGTTCTCCCGACAAAGAAATATCTACCTTCTGAAAATATTTGAACTTATTTTTCTTATTATGAGTTCTAGGAGGCGTTAAGAACGTTTTGAAATTACCTCAGACTTTACTAAGATTACATTATGCAACTGTTTTCAATTTTCTATGCGGCATCTTTTTAACAAACGGCACGTTGTTTATGGCTAATCAAAGAGCACGCGTTTTGAGTTCAAGTGCCATCTAGTGGTTATTATATAACTGTCTGGAATTGGTGGGCTCTTAAAATACTGAACAATCTATTGTGGTGGCCACCTGCAAGCTTTTGTTGTTATAACATACGTAAAGTTTTTCTCATACATTATGTAAGGACCACTAGTATTACTAATTTTTTTTTCTTCTCACTTTACTTGAGTCAAAAATGGCGCATTTATGTACATTCGTTTCATCTTTCATAAATAAACTGGTGTAAACACTTTTAAAAGTGCTATGCTGGAAGATGGAAACAAGAAAAAAGACAAACTACGACGTTTCGACAAGTGTACTTTATGATGGTTTGTAAACTTTTCGAAACGTTGTAGTTTTATTTTCTTCTTGTTTCCAACTTCCCACACAAAGGTTTTTAAAAAAATATTTTATTCACATTTCTACGAAATTATTTTTTTCTAGATTTTTGACTGTCAAAGCAAATTATTATAGTCAAAACTGTAATTCATAACTGACAAGATTTTTTCAACCCAACCCAGACTTGGTGAAAATATACCCAATTACATCGAAAATGCTAACAAAAAATTTTACAGCTTAGACTTGGTTAAATTACTATGGATAGCTGACTAGAAGGAAAGCAACCGGCTGGTAGTACCAACCGCCGACTTTCGACTACTCTTTCACCAACGAATAGTGGAATTAACCGTCTCTTTATAACACCCACACAGCTCAGTTTCGAACGCCCGAACCACCACCAGGTCAGGCTAAAACATGACCAGTTATATTGTGTGAAGTGGAGACATTGTCTACCTTTTTGAGAGTGTGAACTGTGGTCATACAAGGCCAGGCTAAAACATGACCAGTTATATTGTGTGCAGGGGAGACATTGTCTACCTTTCTGACAGTGTGAACTGTGAACATACAAGGCCAGGCTAAAACATGCCCAGTTATATTGTGTGAAGTGGAGACATTGTCTACCTTTCTAACAGTGTGAACTGTGAACATACAAGGCCAGGCTAAAACATGACCAGTTATATTGTGTGAAGTGGAGACATTGTCTACCTTTCTAACAGTGTGAACTGTGAACATACAAGGCCAGGTTAAAACATGCCCATTTATATTGTGTGAAGTGGAGACATTGTCTACCTTTCTAACAGTGTGAACTGTAATCAAACATAAAATAAAAAAGATGTTTTTTTTTACTTCTACATAATCTGTATAAATAAAGATTTCTAGTAAGGTTTTTTTATTAAGCGCAAAGCTACACAATGGGCTATTTGTGCTATGCCCACCACGGGTATCGAAACCCAGTTTTTAGCGTTATAAATCTTCAGACTTACTGCTGAGCCCTCCGATAAAAACGGTATTGCTCATGAAAAGAGATTAATTGTAAGTTACCTAAATAAAGCTGAAATGAAAAATCTGTGTGGTTTGAAGCGTCAAGAGTCGGTATCTAAATATCATCGATTAAATATTTACACTCATAAAAACTGGTATAACTATTCTACAGTATTCGCCCCCAGTAGTGTTTAATTCTAGAATTAATAGAAGCTTATCGGTTTTGTAAGCACACTGTTTCTAGGTTATTCATGCAACAAATTTTGTAAACACGTATTTTCTAAATTATTTATGCTC